ATAAAGTTATTAGTGATAGACAAACTCTATAAATAGAAAAAATATACTAAATTGATTGATCAGTTAAATTTATTAATTGAAAATGGCTGGTACTTACGACAATGAAGAGCAAAGAATGGTCGATAGAATTAAATGCATCGCTTTTCGTGACGCTCGCGATGAAGGTGCAGCATTTATTAATCGACAATGGATTGCACAGAAAATTCATCGAACTACTAGATTTGTTACTGAGTGGTGGGAGAAATCATATGATGAATGTTTTGCTGATTATTCGAAATCTGGTCGTAAACTGAAGTTATCAGAAGCGAGTAGAAATATCATCTGAACGCCAGTGGCAAACAAGGGAAACGCTCTTATATTGTGGCGAAAGAAATTGCAGAAAAGCAAAACGAATGTGGTGTTCGAAAAACCATCAATAATTATCGTTCCAGAGAAAGACAAAAGCCTTTTCATGTTATTCCAAAACCGTTAAAAACAGAAACTCATATTTCTAATCGATTGTGATTCTGCGATTGGTTAAAAGACTGGACTAAAGAAGACTTTCTACACCTTGCGCCATCAGATGAATTTTATGTCTGGATCGTTCGCAGACCAAATTATCAAAATGATCAAGTCGGGGCAAAAAGTATTGAAGATATAGAAGACAATGAAAGATATCGTGAAATGGTTAAAAATCAAGTGTGTATTGGGATTTTTGTGATTTTTACTGCCAAAAAGTTACATTGGGTTATCAAAGACAAGCGTGAATATTGGACGGGCCAATATTTTCGTGACACAATTCTAATGCAACATGTGATACCATTCCTAAAAAATGAAGAAAATGTTATCGATCCGGATGAAGTAATATTTGTCCATGACAAAGCACCATGCATGCGAGCAAATATGACTCAACATTTGCTTCAAGACAACAACATCAAATTCTGGAGAAATGACACTTGGCCCGGAAACTCGCCTGATCTAAATGTGGCTGAACATATTGGAACAGTAATTAAAAATGAAGTTGAAAAAAAATGCTATCAGAAACGGAACATGATCGTTATCGAGGAGAAACTTTGAAGAAACACACTTCAGATGTTTTGAAAAATATGGAAACGGATATTGAATTATTTGAAACTCTCTTATGTTCGTATCCGTCACGTCTCCGTGCTGTAAAGAATGCTAACGGTCGTCATACTGATTATTGATTATATTCACTGAACTTTAATAAAAATAAAAATTTCTTTGTCATATGTCAATATTTGAAAACAGATCTAGTTTAAATTGTCTCATAACTCTAATTTTCTGCGACAACACAGCATAGTATTTTTGAAAATTGCTTCAACTTAATATAGAAAAGTTTCCATATCCCTTACTATTTAGTACTGCTAAATCCCGTTTTTGACGCGCTTTAATTTGGTATAAAATTTGTTATGATTGCTATTTAAAATCATAGCGTTACCCCCCTGGAATAATATTTTTACCCACCTAGTATTGGAATGGAGTGATGAAAATCTGTTAATGTATATCCCATGCACCACAAATTCATTAAAAAGGTCATTGAGAAACATCGATTTGACTTTCACCAATTTCTCAGGAGTAAAAGAGGAGACATTACTACTTGGAACTAGTGATCATTGGCCATTAGTATATAGATCAGAACTCCTCATGTTTCAAACTAGTCAAAAATTCTCTATCACTAAATGGAAATATTTCGAAGTGATTTTATGTTTGTTACAAGATTATTGGATGAAACAGAGCGATTTTATGACAACAACTGAATGGTATAAAAGTTACATTCGGGTCTTAGCAGCCTTAAAAAATCGTCTCACGGTTTGGCACGGAAAAAATAAATGGAAACCAGCCTTGCCGCCGTCCATACGTGGAAAATTGAATCAATTACATAAAATTAGAAATAGATACTAGAGATATAGAAATGACAACGACAGAGTATGTCTTCGACAAATGACAAGAGAAGTAAAAAAAGAAATATATATATATCGGTCGACCAGATGGAATGATTTTTTATTGAGTATTCAACAAAACCATGATAAATCAGAATCAACCTTTTGGAAACACCTATCCAACATTTATCGACCGAATACATTGCCTTTGTGCAAACTCAGGGTAAAAGATAAAGTGGTCACCTCACAATATGAAATAGCAAAAGAACTGCATGAATATTACTCTACCCTATTCACACCTCCTATACTAAACCAGTCTGATCTTTTTGATACTCAAGTCGGAAAACATTATAACCACATTTTAGACGAATTGAAATTATGTAATAAAAGTGTTGAATTAACATGTCCCTACGAACTCAAAAACATGATTAATACTCTAAAACCGAAAAAATCAGCAGGCTGGGATGCCTCTCCAACTTTATGATTAAACGTCTACCCCTATGCTACCTAAGATGTTTAAGTAAATGTTTTAATGAATGGCTCCAAAAAGGAATTCTTATAGATGACTGGAAAATAGCTAAAATAATAACCTTAAATAAAGTAAAGTCCAGTACACCTCATTGTGATCAAACAAGGCCTATTTCGCTTTTAGCAACTCATTCAAAACTGTACGAAAAGATTTTGTTAAAGCGTGTTAAAGTTTGGGCAGAAACTAACCATATAATCCCAGAGGAGCAGTCAGGATTCAGGAAAGGGTGTTTACTACAAACAAGAGTATTATCAATCTATCAGGAAGTAAAGAATTATCTTGCAGCCAACGTTCCTACTCTCAGTATCTACGTAGACTATAAGAAAGCATATGACCTTGTATGGCATGAAGGGCTTATTGCGAAGCTGTACCG